GTTTCATATATGCAACTAAATCTGGGAAAATGCAAATCACGAAATTACTCTAATGCATTTTATTTTCATTCTATAAGTTCAAGCAATATGCATTTAAATCCTGCTGGAAGCTATTGTATTTCAGTGAATATATTTTTTCAGACAGTAGTAATTAAAATATAATAGCAATTAATATAATAATAAAATAAATAGTAATTCACATCGCATTCTTATCCCAATTACATTTTACTCGGTAATTTCTTGGTATTTCTCTCTTCTCTTTCTCCAGACTGGTACATGGCGCTATTTCAAAGTATTGTTATGCGCATGGTCACAATTTCCGTTGCATATACCCATAATAACATCATTTGCATTTCAAAAGTTTTTCATTGTTTAGACAGGTATACTAAGAAAAGGCACTGCATTTTCAAAATTTTTTCGTCGTTTAGACACATATACCAAGAAAACTTCACCGTGGTGTTCTGAAAAAAGTAATTCGTTGCAGGGCTATGTTGACTAACTAAAATGTGCTCTAGGTTGGATTTATTTATTTTAAGGCTAAGTTCTGAAATTTTAATGTAAGAGAGAAATCCCCTCGACTAAAGTTTCAAGGTGTTTATCTTGATGCAGAACTTCAAAAGATACTGTTTGCTTTTTTTTAAAAGGCACAAAAGAAAATAAGAGGTTTCTATACCACATATGTCTGCAGCTTCATCTGTTTTCGTTAGATCCCAAGTGAGAATTTTGGCTGAAGGTAACATATGCTATGCTCAAAAAATCGTCGTATTGGCTATCGATCGCATTCCTATACGTGACTTTGTATTATCTTGAGAAAATATTTGAAAGGAAGAGTGAATTTCCCATTTGCTGCGCAGGGAATATGAGTTTATTGTTTTTCTTTATGTTTTTATGTGATAAGTGCTTATTTTTATCTGGCTAAATACACGAAAAAAAAGTGTTTTTTCAAAAACTGTGGAGACTGCTGGTAAAATTTACCATATTAGATGTATTCCTGTTTTTCTTAATTTTCTGTCTCAAATAAAAATCAATTGTACTTGCATATATTTACGTATTACCGCATCCAACACACATACTTATTCACACATATACAGTATATTTTTGCTGTTGTTTTTCTTATGGGATTTGTGCATCTCAGTGTAGGTATTTCATACACTCGTAAGAAATAAAACAAAAATTTAAATCCGTGTTAAGCAAAGAACTGCCCTCTTTAAATAAAGTTAAATTTTCCCAAATGACTAGTTAAATTAAGAACACTGTTGTTGGTAATAAGTCGAAATCCGTTATTAAAAACATTGCTATGTGTATTTTACCATTTCATTTTATATTCTAAGACAGTCTTTTGTTCTGTCTGTGCTATTCAAATTAATTAGTGCATCCTATAATTTATGACGTCTTCATATCGACAAAATGCATTTAATTGGTACCATTTTTTTTAATCCCTCTCCTCCTAATAACAAGAAAAGTTGCAGGCATGTCACACTTTGAACCTTTTTATACATCCATACCATATATTACCCATACGATAAGATTGATATCCGGGAGATTATTTAAGGCCTGATATAACTTTGAAATCACGTATTAATATGTTGGCATCTTGTTGGTACATTTAATTTCTTACCGCGAGGTAGCTTATATATCTACGTATATAAATGTGTCCCAATAGAATTGTTAATAGTTGACTATTGGCTGTACAGTAAGTTACCCAAGTAATAGCTTTTACAAGTTGTCCGCTATTAGAAGCTGTAGGACATGCGTTATGAAATTATTTTTTTTCCTATCTCTAATTTTGTTTTTTAAAAAAAACTGCATAATGTAATAACTCTTAGTCTGTACATCAATATTCTGTTATAGGTTTCCGTTTAAACAATCATTTCTTAATTATTTTCACATAATTTATCTTTGTGACTTCGAATTCGTAGTAATCTGTAATGGTGATTCGGTATGTTTGCAACAATATATGTGTTATCCTTTTACTATTTTTATTCGCTTGTGAAAATCAGCTATTTGAATGCTACATAAAAGCGAATAAAAATAAAATATAATTAAGCATTAAGAAGCATTTATCGTTACAAATTCGATTATTTAATACAAATAATAGTGGCTGTTTTTATTCAATTAAATTTGACAATTTAATTGAATAAAAACAGCCACTATTATTTATCCGATGACGCATCATTGACGGTCATGACGAATTTAGTCATGAAATTATCAAATTACAAAAATTTCGATTTACAAAATACACTTGCACATTCTTAGCACATTAGTCAATCTTTTCGGTTAAGAAGGACTGCTGTAAAAGGCGAAGTGTGAAGGATATTCAGAAGTTAAGTATTCGAAGGGCTATGTATATTTATGTTTAATAGCGCTAACAAATGTTTTATGAAAGTTCGTACTTGAACTGTTGTTCACTCACAAGTTTAAACGTTGTATGCCGTTATAACTTCAGAGTTATAGATCATGTTTTTATAATAAAATTACTGAAACTACGGAATATATTATTAATTTTTATTTGTTGAGTCCCCTTAATATTTTTTTTAGCCACGAAAAAATTTCGGTTGCTGAAAGCTAACATAGATCCAGAGTTAATTAAAGATGCTAGAAGTTTCTGAAAAATGAAGCATCTTGGAAGATTTGCGTGGTGTATTTCGTGTATATGCAATACTGGTAAACGGAGTCCTCAAAAATACATTCAAAATGACTTTTGGTTATATTTGTTAGTTGTTTAATTAATTATGATAAAGCACTTTCGAGAGCTATCTGTCTAAGGAGAGGGATGTCATTGTGGAAAACTTTTCATTACAGTTATCTTTCTCAGAGAATTATCGTTATTAAAATTTTCTAAAAATCTCGCATTTTGAATAATACAAGCAGGTATAGTGGAAAAGTTAAACACGATAGCAATTTTACTAATTCCATGTGTTTATTCATTTATAAAATTATCTTCAGACAAATGTTAAATCACTGCAAACGCGCACACGTCCAACACAAAAAATAAACAAATAAGTTAGGAGGTCTTTTTTTATGCTCAAAACAAATTTACAAATTTTTGCTGGTTTCTCCTTTTACCAGTTATTTTATCATGTTTTTATGTTTATAAAGTCTGCCTGCCTGGGCATATGGTTCCAATGGCATCATGTTTAGATATTATGTGTCAAGCATTTTTCTTGTTCCTTCAAATGGTGAACATTTTACTTTGAATTTATGATTTTCTTCTACATTTTTTATCTCTGCTGGCTGTTGTTTTCTTGAAAAATGCCATTTTTCTAAGAGTCGAATATTTCTTCGACGTTTCCATGAAATAGATTATTTTGTGATAGACTGAATTTTCTCCCCCTTTCCACCCACCAGAAACACATCCTTCAAAAGTCCTTCCAGTACAACAGTTTTTTTTTTCTTTTTTTTTTCCCCTGGCGTATAGTTTCATTCAGTTTGAAATTTAAGAAATCACATTATCTTTATTTTGGCCAGTAATATTCGTCGTTTGATTTCTGGCTCGAAAACGGAATAGGAGAAAAAAATTGATAGGGTGAGGGTCATTCAGTAGAGAATGTAATTTGATTCCTTTTATCCTAAAAAATCCCTAAAAGGATTTTACGTTCTGTGTGAAGGGATTGTGCAAATCGATAAGAATTTTATTGTATTGTTCAGCATTGAAATTATTGGAAACAAGCACGTAAAAGTTTCTTTATCTAGACGCGGCGTGATACAGCTCAGTAAAATCTAATCCAGTGGTAGAAATAGATAGGAAAGTGGTTTAAGCATTTCATTCTTAAAATAAGTTAGCTGTCCTTTCATTTTGAACAGTCTATGTATTTAATATTTAAGTGGAAAAGTCAAATTATAAAATATGGTAAAATATCTGAAATAAAAAGAACTGCGCTGCATGCCTGTTCGATTTAAAATTCCTTTTGAATTCAGTGTAAATGGAGATTTGTCAAATAAATATGCAGTTTGGATCGATTCAACAACTGCCGAAAGCACTTATTTAAAAAAAAAAAAAAAGTTTTAAAAAAGTAGATCACATTTACATAGATTTCGGATACGATGGTACTGTACATTGACAAAATATTTTAAAAAATACTGTATGTAATTTCACTTTTCGGGGGGAGGAGGTTAGTTATGCAATTAAAGGCTAATAAATTTTAATTTCATTAAATAGTAAAGGATGTAGAAGGTTTCAAGTTTATAATACTTACAACTATATTTTATTCCTGTATTTGTTTGATATAATTGCCGTTTAATTTTCTTGCGATCCAGCTGAAATTGGAGTCGCTAAATTGAATTAATACGCAGGTGTTTAAATAATTTTAATTTATTCCAAATGCATTTTCTTTAATCAGAGTTCTGCTAACTTAATCAAATTCTCTGACTGCTTAGCTCTAAAAGAAAATTTTTTTTTTCTCTTTTTTTTAACTTTTCCCCATCAGAGTAGAAATTTGTATTCCAAACGTCTCTTTTAAGTTCTTGCATTAATTTATCTTGCAAAATTTCTGTTTAATTATTTTTTCTATAACTCCCCCGCCCCTTGACAGAAACAAGCCTACTATTTTCTAGAAATCATATGCATGTAGAATTCTTGGGCTTAGTCTTTGAGCTTTCGTTTAACTAGGTAACTAGGTTACCTACTAGTTAAACGAAACAGTTTCATTTAATTAGAGTATCTAGTTAAACGTTTTGTATTACAGTCCAAAATTTCCTTATTTTGGAAATTACTGTTCAGGCTGTTTTCGCTTATTCATAGAGCTGATGAAACGTATAAAAAACAAAATATTTAAACGTATTTTTTTAATTATGAGCACTGTCACCCGAATATAAAATTAAATATATCGTGTAAATAATTTAAGCCTAAAGTGCTTGCCATCGTAAGGCATTCCATTCTTCGTTGATGGTTCTTTTCTTTTAATCTTGTTGAGGACCTTAGTATGCTCTTTATATCACTATTCTTGGATACTCATTTTTTATTCGATGTTTTTTAATAATCTTTAAACATTTTCTTTCAGTTTATCGAGAAGTTTCAGGAGGTGAAAGAAGCAACTCGGCAAGCAGCCCAGCAGAAAGCCCAACAGCAGACGAACGGTAGCGCTTCCACGCCCGTTACGTCGGCTAGCGCGTCCCCTTGCAGCAGCCGCAGCGTCCCAACTCCACCTGTCCCGTCCCAGACGCCGACTTCTGAGAGTGGTGGTGCCGAGGACTGCGTCCCTATATCCGCCAATCAGCTAGATCACGTTGTGAGCAGTCTCCCATCAAATGTCAACGACATTGCCAATACACTCAAATCATCTCTCGTCGCACATCAAAGAAGCCAAAGCTTGTCCGGTCTTCAAGCCAGCAAGGTAATAATACTATTATTGTTTATATATAGGTCCTTGGATTTAAATCTAAAGCTCTGTAAGTATTATCTGTAGCCAAAGCCTTTACAAAATATTTAGAAATTGAACTCTCCAATACTGAATTAATGTACACTCTAAACTGACTGGCCCTCCACTAGTCAAGAAGCTAAAACAGCGTAACGTAGGCATTTCTATTCTGTGTTTGATTTCTGGTATCAAAACAAGTTGGCTGCCTGAGAGTTTTTATGGTTTTTTAATTTTTTATTTTATTGCAAATCAGCTTCCATTTCGAAAGCCTTGATTACTTGACCGTAACATAATCATGTTTGTACCTGACTACTCTTTTCTGCCCAGTGTTGAACTAAACGTAAACGCGATAAAATTTTTGAAAAAAATAAAAAAAAAAATATTCCGCTTCTATGGTGCATAATGTAATTTGATAAATGACGACTGAAAATGAAAATCTTCCTGTTTCAAATGTCAAGACAAATTTAAAGTATTGTTGACTGGGAGTGGTAAAATTACAGTTAAAAGTAATTTCAAAATAAGTGATAATTAAAATAAATTTAAAATTTCAAAACACATAAATTGACGGGTCAAAAGCAATTCAGATATGTTACCGGTTTCCAAAAGTTAAGCAAGAAATTGAAAAATCGCGATAAATCGATTAAAAGTTTGTTCGAAATTCTTGAAATTTGAATATACTGCAAATAAAGGCAAGCTGCGTAGAGTAGTATTGTGCTGCCATGACTTTATGTAAATACGATACAGCTTAAAACCAACTGTTTGGGAAGGAATCGCTATTCAGTGAATGACTGTATGTTAAACGGTTTCGAGAGAGCCGAGGTGTAAAACTGAGTTCGATGCAACGATTTTCATTAGAACTGAGTTATAGAATCATTTGCCGTCTAAAAGTAGGTCAACAACAGCCTGGCTTAACATGGCTAAATATCGACCGTTCTGTGGTAAACTGGTTATTGAACCACTTTTTCTGACTACTGTTTCAGCCACTCGAAGACCTACCGAAGGTAGGCCAAGAATGACCACTTCTGCAGCTGACCGGTATTTGCAACTTAGTGGACGTCGCAACAGGACTGCGATTTTATCTCAATTTAGATTCGCCCTTATTTCTGCTACAGGAAGTAAAGTATCAGAAACGACAGTACAACAGTACGCAGAAAGTTGCATGGAGGAAGTCTGTATGCTAAGCCACCTGCATTGTACTTCCCGTTTACTTACGCTCTTTGAATTAGGTAGGTACATAGTCATGTATATCAGACTGAAAATCAGCGGAGATCTCTTCTTTAATTGATGAGTCCCGTTTTGCTTTATAACGTGATTCTCGACGTGTGTACGTATGGAGAGAAGCAAACATTCGATATCTTCTGTCTAACTTAAGGTAAAAGGATACCTGTGAAGAGGTAGTGTTCTTGTATGGGGGGGAGTATCTTCAGATGGCCACACTGATCTGTATGTGCTGCCACATGAAACTCGCAGTGCTCAGAGGTACAGAGACAACATACTGGATCTTACTGTTCTTCCGTATGCTGCCGTAATTAGAGATACCTTCATTTTGCAAGCAGATAATGCTCGCTCCCATACTGCCCGCCTCGTGCACCAATTTCTTGAAGAAGAATCTGTTGTTCAAATGAAATGGTCAGCACGCTTTCCCAACCTTAATCCTATTGAGCATATGTGGAACGATCTCTGGAGGCATGTTGCTGGCTTCCAACCCCCTCCCTAGAGCTTAGATGGGCCTAGAACTGCTTTGCGTGGTCCATGCAGTTCATTGGCAGCATCATAAACAGCATGAGATATTGCTGTTCGAAGTGATTATACTAACCACTGAAAACTATTTTGTTTGATTTGCATATCCGAATTTTGATTTCATGTCCCTATAGATATCAAAAAATTTTAATATTATGTATAGCATTTTCATGTGTTTTTAAGTTACTTGTGACAATAAATTTTACTACCAAGTGTCGTCCAATTTGCTTGCATTATTTTTGAGTTATAGTCATTTTTCCGTTTTCAGAGTTGACAACTCTCCCGATTTCAGACCGTAGTTACACCAACCCAATTTACAATACACTTCTCTCGACTTTCTCTTATTCCTAAAATTCCTCGCGATTTTTATGTAGCTTGGCTTCATACTTCATTATTTGCATCCGAGCAAGTAATTTTTTACATCTGAAAGCGTTTGATTTTCTCTACATTATATATATATCTAAAAAAAAACCAAAGTCGTTTCATCAGTGAGACATTACGGCGCGCTTCTGCTTTGTATGTGAGAGCACACTTGTCCTATAGCATCGTATTTCAGTTCTCCAGTAAGGATCAAAGCGCCGATGTGGGCTATCTGGCATAACTAGCGTCTTTTATGTTACCTCTAGTGTTTTATACTCACCTCACGGTACTTATACTTGAAATGCCTTATGCATAGGTCTTCTGTACACATCCTAAGGGACAGTGTGCCTAAGAGAAATGAAAAGTTTTGTAAAATAAAAAAGTGAAACTTAAAAAAAAATTTTTTTTAAATATAAATGGGAAAAGAAAAATTTTTTTTAAAAAAATTTTGAATAAAAAAGTGAAATGTAAAAATAAATTTGCTTTTGTGAAAATAAAAACCTTGAAAAATTAATTTGCGAAAATTAAAAGTAAACTATACGTTTGCAGAAAGTATAAACATGGAATGAAAATATAATAAATTTCATTTAGTAAGAATGAGGGGGAGAAAGAAGGATGTTTGTAGAATTAAAAAAAGAGAGAGCGAAAAGAAAGGTAAAATAACACCAACGTTTGGCCGCAAGCTGGAACTTGAAAAGAGATGGTACTTAACACCGTAATCTGGATTTGTCCGAAAAGTCCTACACGCGTAATGGTTTGCACGTTCTCCTGTTATGCGAGAGGTGGTAGGTTCGATCCCAGCTTTTTAAAATTCATGGAAAAGGTACTGTTATTAAATCAAGAAATTGAATGACTTAAAAATAAATAAATATTAAATAATGGGACTCTCAGTTAAAAGTAATTAGAGATTAAATTATTCAAAATACTAAACGGAAAGTAATTAAAACTGATGTCATTCAAACATATGATTCAAAAAATCGCTGCCACAAAAAGTACTTTGAAAAAATATTGTTATTGGCACAAAAAAATAAAACTATTGCGTATGACGTCATTCAACCCGTCAACATCATTTCCGGGAAAATCAAAGACGGCGGCATCACCTTTCTGGTGTCACGTGATCCAAGGCTACGCTACCTTATACCCTCGGCCGTCTCACTAGGACCTCTGGTTACTATTTAGGATAAAGGTCTTGTGAAATTTCCTTAAGTATCTTTATCGTTCCTTTTATGAGACATGACTGCATCTAAATCCAGCATGATGTTTTGGTTCTTACAAATATCCGCAATAATAAAGTTAACACATCACTTTCTGACATTTTTCCTTGCGCGTTTTCACTACTTATTCATTAAGCAAAATGTCTACGATTGTTGTACAAGGGTCACTTTTTAAAGATGATCTCATTATGCTTCTAATTAGAATTCGTTTATTTCTGATTGGAGTGGAAAGGAAGCTACTTAATTCAATACATTATTTTGTTATGGCATAGAAGGAAAACATAGGAAAAAATGAATGCTATATTATGACCTGTTTGTTTTCAGGTATACCAGTATCCAGTATAGTGGATGCACTCCTAAATTGAAGCTGCTCAACTAAAAGTGGTTATTATAATTTGTGGTAGTTGTGCAGTGTGATTTGGTTGTTTTTTTGTGATTACGACAAAAGCGTCGAGGGCTATTTGCCCAAGGGAAGGGATGCTTTCCTGGAGGACTTTCTAAGGGAAATTGGCTCGTATACACGTTACACATGGTGCCAGCTCGATCGCGCGGACCGAACTGCCAGTGTTCAGTGACTTTACCGCTTGGCCGTTGGTGGGTCAGCAGTGTGTATATACAGTATTTTTCTGTATAGTTCATTTAGCATTTAAACAGTAATTAAGTGTAATTTTTCTATTATAGTGTAATGATTAGACCCCCTTCTTCTCATTCCTCATTTCATTTAGTAAAATACCTGCTTATAAAACCCTACCAAATTTTAGAACAAAAATATAACAAAGAGGTGTTATTTTCAAGTAAATATTATATGCTTTGCTCCCTTTTTCGTATTTTGTAAGTTTGCATGTTGTTTGGTTATGCAAGTTTTAAAACAAGTTATTTTGGTAAAAATAAGTATATTTCAGTATATTTTCCCACCCTAACAAAATCAGTAGAATTTTTTTGCGTTATCTGCAGGAGTTTAAAAATAATCTTCCAAAAGCTCTAGCAGACTAGAAGTGCAACCGCCAGCGATCAAACGGTAAAGTTACCGAACACTGGTAGTACAATCCGGCTTCAGATATCGGCAAAAGGCTAACTACACTGGAGTTTTCATATTCTCCATGTGTAACGTGAATACGAGCCAGTTTCTCTTAAAATCCTCTCTATAATGGCATTTCTTCCCCTAAAAACATAAAACACTCGCATGCTTTGCCATAATCCATCTAATCCAATCCAGGTGAAGGATGATTAACAGTGGCTTTAATTCTGAATGTCTGTAGTTGTAATCCACTTTCTAAGCAATGTATAGTCTTGGCTTTCTCTGACGTCCAATATGTCAGTTTAAACTCAAACTCGAGAGTATCTATCTTGGTTCCGTGACTTCTTTCATTGTCAGTAAGGGATTATTACCAAGTACAGTACCATCTACAACATGGTATTGCAACATTTCCTTTGTTAAACGGCGCAGAAAGTTGCTCGGAGTGGCAGTTACCTACAGCCATTTCAATTGAAATAACATTATGCTTTATAAACTGCTGACCATTTAAAAGAAAAGGCGATAAAAAAAGCCTGTCTTACGGAAAGGTGAATAGATTACCTGGATGTAACTTCTTATTATGTTAATTGTGAAGCATCTGCAGTTACCAATTCCAAATTGTGAACGAAAAATTCACCTTTTGGAAT